TTTCTGTTGTATTTTAATTTTTCAAATTTTCAATTTTACAATTTTTCAATTTCTGATAGCAATTTAGAATTGATAAAGAAATTTTTGAATTCTGAATTATAATTCAACTGCTTTCGGGGTTGATGAATAGAAGAATGTATGCGACAACGGGAAAGCAAGTTTAATGTCCTAAATTACAAGCGTTAATGGACAATAATTGTAATAATGATTAAATAAAGTTTATATTTGAAATTAATAAAATTAAATTTAAAGATTGTTGTATCTTAGGGAAAGAAGAAATTTCTACGAGATGAAAAGAGAAATTGGAAAAGGTGGATGACCTCTAATTGTAAGGCAATTGTGTACAGGTAGGTAGGTAGGTAGGATAAGATAGGTTATTAATATTCGAAAGCAAAGGTTGAAAAAAAATTCTTCAAAATCACAATAAATATTTTATCATTATTATTATTATTATTATTATTATTATTATTATTATTATTATTATTATTATTATTATTATTATTATTATTATTATTATTATTATTATTATTATTATTATTATTATTATTATTATTATTATTATTATTATTATTATTATTATTATTATTATTATTATTATTATTATTATTATTATTATTATTATTATTATTATTATTATTATTATTATTATTATTATTATTATTATTATTATTATTATTATTATTATTATTATTATTATTATTATTATTATTATTATTATTATTATTATTATTATTACTTTATTTTTCCTATTCCAATTAAAATTATAAATTTGTTTTTTTTTTCTTTTGATTGACCCTACTTTTTTCAATTTTTTCCAATAGAATTTTTCTATTTCAAACGAATCTCAAATTCCAACAACTGAAGCAAATTTTATTCGATATTAAGAAAGAAAAAAAAAATATTATTTACATTTAAATTGAAATATTTGTTAGAATATTTCTTACAGCAATTAAATTATTGAAATTTTTCAAATATTTCAAAAGCAGTAGGTAAATTATTTTGAAAGAAGAAAATCTGTCAATGTGATGTCAACAAAAAGAAAAAAAAAAAAAAAAAATATTTGTGAAATAAAAAAATGAAACTGATGAAATGAAGAAGCTGGAAACACTGAAGAACACAGAAATAGTTAAAACGGGAATTAATTTTAATTTAAAACAAATTTCTTTCGTGATAAAATGACCAATCAATTTTTATCTTATCAATAAACAATAGATCAGTGAACATTTAAAATAATGAATTTTAATTTAAAACTCACTAAAACTAAAAAAAAAAATGACATGGCTATTTCAATTTAAAAATTTGTTTTAATTTATATACTTTTCGGTTTCTTCAAAAAAAAAAAAATTACCAGTACAGGTGTTAACTTTTGGTATTTTAATTTTGCTTTTTTTTAAATTGCTTAATTTGAAATTTCAAATTTACTTATCTGTGTCTCTATGTTTAGTTCTATTCTTAGTTATTTCTATCTGCAGAATGGTTAAAATAAACAATGATTTGAAGGATGAAAAAGATGATGAACAAATGCTACAATTAAATAACTTTTCAATCATTCAAAAAAAAAAAAAACTGATCAATTCACTTTTATCTAAACTCATACCTGTCTAAATTAATTTTTTAAATTTAAGTAAATATCATCAAAATTTAATTAAATTTTATCTAAACTCATATCTGTCTAAATTAATTTTTTAAATTTAAAATCATCAAAATTTGAATTTTATCTAAACTATTCTTTTCTAAATTTTTTTTAAATTTAATAAATTAATAAATCCTTCTTATTTGTCTAAGTAAATATTTAAATATATCAAATTGAATTTTATCTAAACTCATATCTGTCTAAATTAATTTTTTAAATTTAAATAAATATCATCAAAATTTAAATTTCATCTAAACTCATACCTGTCTAAATTAATTTTTTAAATTTAAATAAATTTGAATTTTTTATTCTTTTCAGTTTTTTTTCTTCTTTAAAAATTAATCCATCCTTCTTATTTGTATACGTAGATATTGAACTATAACAATTGTTTACTTTTAAATGTGAATATTATTTGGTAGCACTCTTTTCATCAAAAATAATAATTAGTCTGTCACAGATTCATTTTGAAATGAGCACTTTGCACTAAAATATTTCAATGTGACACTTAAAATTACCAATTGAAAAATGCATTTTCTATTCTATCAAATATATTTGAAAGAGAATTGTTGGTATTATTTATTCATTTTTATCACAAATTATTCTTTCTCAATTTCAAATTTTGTTTACTTTGTCAGTTTAACCACCAAAAAAGAATACTTTTACTTACTTATAAACTAATTAAATTACCTTCGTGTTTTCTTTTCTTCATAATTTGTTGACACTAAATTTAATTAATTATAAATGATTTACTGCTTAGCTGTGAAGAAGTAAATTGTTTACTAATTGAATCATTTGAATACTAATTTGATTAGAAAAATAATATTTTGAAAATACATAAAGTAAATATGAAATGAAAAGATTTCAAATTTAATTTACACAAATCTTAGCAAAATTTAAATTTATTTATTAATTTTCAGGAAGAATCTAATTTTAATTTATTTCTTTTATAGTATTTTATCATCACTCGCCTTCCTCAGTGTTAGATTGATTTATTATATTACCTTTTAGGATGAAAAGATAACATTTAAAAACAACAAAAACAAAAAGTACAATAATTCGATTAAAAAAAAAAAAAATGAAATTTATTAAAAATTTTATTTTTGTAAATTTGTAAATTTTACAAGCATTTTTGTAATTTTTTGCTTGCAAATTTTGAAATTCCTTATACATTTCAATGAAAAAATACTTTTTGTAGATAAACAATTTAATTTCAAATCTTAATAAATTATCAAAATTTCATGCACAAATTTTTGAAAAATTAAATTTATATTATTATTAATTATATCAAAGATTATTGAGATTAGCAACTTTATACTTCTGTTAATTACTCTTTAATTAAAAGTAACAGAAATCGTTGCATTATTCTTTGAAATAAATTTTCATTTGAAATATATTTTTGTTTGTCCTTTTCGAAGCGCTAATTACCTAACTTAAAAGGTTAAAAATATTTGTCTCATTTTATAACTTATTTCATTATTATTCACGTTATTGTTATTATTATTAACAATATTATTGTTATTAATACTATTATTCTCATTATTTATTATTATTGCTGTCATTACTATTATTGTTATTATTATTATTATTATTATTATTATTATTATTATTATTATTATTATTATTATTGTTATTCTCATTATTATTATTATTATTATTATTGTTATTATTATTATTATTATTATTATTATTATTATTATTATTATTATTATTATTATTATTATTATTATTATTATTATTATTATTATTATTATTATTATTATTATTATTATTATTATTATTATTATTATTATTATTATTATTATTGTTATTATTATTATTATTATTATTATTATATTATTATTATTATTATTATTATTATTATTATTATTATATTATTGTGTTGACCTTCCCAAACTTTTTTGGTCAATTTATTATTTTCTAGAGTGGCAACAATACAAAAAGAATATTTCATTCAAAGGGTAAAATTTTAAGGCCATGCAAATGACACGAATGCATCATTAATAATTCAAAAAATTTCAAATTTTCTTCAATAATTCAAAAAAAAGTAATTAATAATTCAAAAAAATTGAAATATTCTGCAAAAATAAGGTCAAATTTCAAGTTACGGTAGGCATTAAAAAATTAAATGATAAAATTTAAAAAAAAAATGAATTCTTTTTACTATTTCAACCAATATTTGCTCTCTTTTTTATTTGAAAAGGAATTAAATTAAAATGAATTAAAATGAAGTAAATATTTTACAAAAATTTATTGCATAGAATTGAAAGTATTATCATTAGCAGTGAGTTTTTAACTAATTTTTTTATTATATTTTTGATTTTCTGTACATATTAAGGAACTTAATGATTACTTTATAAAGTTCCAATTAAAATTTTAAAAAATTTAAAAAAAAAATTCTAAGGTTAAATGAAGTATTTCAGGATGAAAAGTAATCAAGAAGAATTGGATAAAGAAGTTAAAAATGATAATGCAACAGATTTAAAATTTATTTCGAATGCTACAAATAGCCTATCACAAATTCACTATGCTTCCTCCGAAGTTATATCAAATAATAATGAATTATGCGCCGAGCGCACTTTGTAATTTCACTTCTGTTGAAACATTTCCGCTTTTTCTTTTTTAGAGAGTGAAAAGTTTTTTTTTCCTTTTTTCTCAAAAAATTTTTCTCGTATTTAGCATTTCAATTCATTTTTCAGAAATAGTTTTACACTATGTAAGCGATATTATGAGCGCTATTCGTCTAATCTAAATATGTTGCCAAATGCGCCGCACAGTTTCAATTATTTGCGATATGCAAAAGCAAATGAATTACGAAAAAACGAAAGAAAGTTTGTTTGTTTATTTATTTTTTTTGTTTGTTTGTTTGTTTATTTATTTGTTTGTTTGTTTGTTTTTTTCAATTTAATGATTGTTTGTAGATTGATTTGATAATTCTAATCAATAAATCTCTTATCTTATCTTAGTGATAGGGTGATTATTTATCTTAGCTTTATCACTTTTATCATTCTATTACAGTACACCGAAGATAAGCATTAAAAATTTATGTGTCACATCAGATAAAGGAACATTTGTTAAAAATTGTTTATCATGGACAACCAGCATGTCACATCATTTAAAAGATATTTCATTTACCCTAACAGGTGGTGACACACTTGCAATTTTGTATGCAAAAGGTAAATTTTATTTAAAAAAAAAAAAAAATGATTTCATTAATTTGAAACAAATTAAAAATGTTTGTGCTAAATAGTTTGAATTATTTTGAATTTTTGCAACTATTTAAAAATTAGCAAATTTCTTTGATAGATAAAAGTAAATTTAATAAAATATTAAAATTAAAAAAAAAAAAAATTAACATTTAGAATCAGAAATGCGTATTCTGTTGGAAATAATGTCAAATAATATATCAACAAAATATTTAATTAATGGAATAATTGAAAATAATGGACATAAAATGAATATAAATGAATTTGGTGACCGTGTCGCATATGTCAACGCACAAAATGTTTATCCTTGGCTTACAGTAGCACAAACTTTATATTTACAAAGTTTATTTGTCACCTCTGATAGGAATACTTTTAATAATGTTAATATGGTAATGATAATATTTTTCCTTTATTCTCTTTCATTCATTAATATTTGAATTGTTTAAATAAAAATTGATTTTAAATTGTTTAAATTGGAGAAATTTTTTATTTTAGATGGAGCAACTAATTCAAACATTAGCACTTTCATCAATTCGTAATTTTCTTTGCAATGAATTAACAATCGCCGAACGACAACGTTTGAAAATTGCACAAGATGCATGTAGCACTTTCATCAATTCGTAATTTTCTTTGCAATGAATTAACAATCGCCGAACGACAACGTTTGAAAATTGACAAATTTTAAAAGATGCTGGTAAAGTTATTCTGTAAGATGATAATAATTTAATTAATTTATCACATTCAATTCTCAAATTATTCATTTAATTCTTTGCCTACTAATTTAACAAATTTTAAAAGATGCTGGTAAAGATGATAATAATTTAATTAATTAATCACATTCAATTCTCAAATTATTCATTTAATTCTTTGCCTACTAATTTAACAAATTTATGCTTTGTTAATTCAAATTTTAAAAGATGCTAATTTTAAGTTACCTTTGTAAAATGATAAAATTCATTTAATTAATTTATATTCAATTCTCTATTCATTTAATACTAATTTAACAAATTTTAAAAGATGCTATTTAAAAAGTAAAATTTAATTAATTTATCATATTCAATTCTCAAATTATCAATTTAATTTTTTATCTACTACATTAATCATTTCTATAGAAGAAAAAGTCGAAAATAATTTAAAAAGTAGCAGCAATTTATGTGTAATAGCTATCTATCTAACAAAAAAAGAAAAAAAAAATCACATTTATCGATTAATTGCTATTTTTTCAGGAATTTATTTAGGACTTTTAAATAATTTGATTTTGAGTGGATTGTAATTTGATTAGAAGTGATAGTGATAATACTTTCAGATGGATTGTAATTTGATTAGAAGTGATAGTGATAATACTTTCAGATGGATTGTAATTTGATTAGAAGTGATAGTGATAATACTTTCAGATATACTATTATCAGATAATATTATGAAAGATATAAATTTATATGAGATGGCATTTCTCATCGACTATTTACGTGATTGGGCAATTAAATTGAATCGAATTGTTATTATGGCTGTGCAACCACCAACAATTGAAATTTTAACAATGTTTCACAAAGATCTGTTTTAACTTTTTATAACAATAAAGTTAATGTAAGGAGAAAAGAGAGAGAGAGAGAGAGAGAGAGAGGAGTTGAGTAAGTTGGTACTACTGATAACAAAATATATTTTAGTACTACTGATAACAAAATATATTTTAGTACTACTGATAACAAAATATATTTCAAATATATTTTAGTACTACTGATAACAAAATATATTTTAGTACTACTGATAACAAAATATATTTACGTACTACTGATAACAAAATATATTTTAGTACTACTGATAACAAAATATATTTTAGTACTACTGATAACAAAATATATTTTAGTACTACTGATAACAAAATATATTTTAGTACTACTGATAACAAAATATATTTTAGTACTACTGATAACAAAATATATTTTAGTACTACTGATACTACTGATAAAAATATATTTTAGTACTACTGATAACAAAATATATTTTACTACTACTGATAACAAAATATATTTTAGTACTACTGATAACAAAATATATTTTAGTACTACTGATAACAAAATATATTTTAGTACTACTGATAACAAAATATATTTTAGTACTACTGATAACAAAATATATTTTAGTACTACTGATAACAAAATATATTTTAGTACTATTGATAACAAAATATATTTTAGTACTACTGATAACAAAATATATTTTAGTACTACTGATAGCATCTGGAAAAGTTATCTATTTTGGATTATCAAGCCAGATGTTGGCTTATTTTGAACAAATTGGCTTTCCATGTCCATCATTCAAAAATCCATGCGACTATTACGGTTAAACTTTTTTTTTTTTTTGTACAATGCTAAATTAAAATCATCCTAATGTTTATTATTAAGCAATAATAATTGAATTATAATAACTCTAATTTGAGTGATCAGAAAATTAAATTTTGCTACTGAAATTTAAAAAAGTTAAAATTAATATTTGCCCAAATTTCATTTAAAATTAAATAGTTTTTTTGTAGTAATGAAATGTAAATTTTTTTTAGTAGATTTAGTAACTCATGATTACTTAACCACTGAATCATCGTTGGAATCAATAAATCGGATCAAACGATTGACAGAGATTTGGAAGGAAAGAATAATTGATGAATGTGAAGCACAACTGATAACTACTGATCAACAATTATCACCAAAGATTCATCCAGTTAACTGTTATCGTGTGGCATTTCTCATTTACAGGTTTTTCATTTTAATTTGTAAACATTTGAAAATGGGCGCTAATGTGCAAAATAGGCGCTAATGTACAGAACTGAATGATAAGTAAAATTTTTACACTCATTCTTCTATTTATCTATTATCATAATTTTTTGAAGTTTTTTGAACAAATCAAACGACAGAATTATTTCAAATGAATTATTGTAAATGAATTTTAATGTATCAATTTATTAAATTAATTTTAATGAAACATTAATATGATAATGATTAGTTATACTTCTCTACTTGGAAATTAAATGAATTAAATTAAATCAAATTAAATTAAATCACTAAATGTTTCATTTTATTATTATTCAAATTTTCAAAACTTTTCAAAAAATTTTGATAATTTCAGACGTTTTTTTGAAATATTTCTGAATAGATCATGGATATACTTTAAAGAACCAATTTATGCATTTCTCATTTCGCTTTTTGTTGGTTTTATATTTTTCCAAATACCAAATGATCGTTATGCTTCTATTAATGCTCGTTTTGGTTTTATCATTTCTATGCTTGCAATTTGCTTACTTCCAAATCTTTTCATTCATATCGAAAGAGGTTACTACCTTAAATTTAGAAATGAAATTAAATTGTTGAACATAACAAATATCACATAATCGTTTTTCAATAAATTTATAATATTAATATTTAATTATTCAATATTTGACTAAACATATATTAATCAATCGATTGTTTTCATGCATTTGATTCTCTTTAATCAATCAATCAATCAATCAATCAATATTGAATATTAAATTTTAATTACTTATCGGCGAAGATTGAAAAAAAAATATTTATAGTATTTGATGAGCGTTTATATTTACTTGATGATGTTCGAAATAAACTGTATGATCCAACTTTTTATATTATTATTAAGGTATTTTTTTTTTGCGTATATTATATTATTATTATTATTATTATTATTATTATTATTATTATTATTATTTTTTATTATTATTATTATTATTATTATTATTATTTATTTATTTATTTATTTATTTGTTTATTTTTGTTTTTAAATCATACAATTGCTTTTTATTAAGTTAGAAATTTTGCATTTTATGAAAAAAAAATTATAAACTTTTAAACCTATTATCAGGCGCTATTATCGCTTAATAATATTACTAAACTTTCTAATGTTTTTTGCGCAAAATTTTTAAATTTGTAAAAATAAATATTATGAATTATAGATTACATATGACTTACCAATAGGCATAATTTGTAATATATTATATGCATTACCTGCTTATATACTAAGTGGACTTCCACTCGATGGTACTTTCTATTGGCCATCTGTTTTCCTTTTCACGTTGATTCTTTGCGTGCACGCGATTTTGTGGCGATACGTCACGTGGATTATAGCGTATAGTTGTTGCAAGCGGATTTCTGCAATCATTGCAATTGGTTATATTTTTTTAGATAAATTATTTATATATTTTATATTTAAATTAATTATGATAAAATAACTGAATGGAATTAAAGTATTAAAAAAGAAAGAAAGAAATGGGAATGCTTGAAATTTAAAATCAAATTTTTCATCTTTCTAAATAGCGTGAAAAATTCATTTTATCATTTTCAGTAATTCTGTTAAGTAATTCAGTGATGCTTTCCGGTTTTCTGATTCATCCAAATAGTTTTCCTGCACTGATCAAATTGCTATATTATTATAATCCAACAAAATTAGCTGGTGCATTGTTAGCTGAAAATGAATTTCTTCGTCGAACAGCACTCACCGATTGGGTTACACTTTTGATCTCGTTGAACTAATGAATTCAGAAGTTTGATTAATTATTATTATTATTAATAATAATGATAACTAATGATAATAATGATAAGAGATATCATATCTAGTTTTAACTCATAATTTTTGATATCATTTTTCAAATTTCTAATGAATTGTTAAGATTACTTTGTAAAAACAAAAAATTCATCGTTTTTTTTTTATCATATAAAAAATGCACAATTTGATATGATTGTAGATTATGAATTAAAAGTTAAATATTAATTGTTAGAGTAAAATATTTGATAAATTTCAGTTCTTTGAAATGCTAATTGATAATTCAACTGCTAGCGGTAATGTCACAGAGTTGTTAATTGGCTGCGAAAGGAAACAAATTTTAGCAAAAAAAATTAATAATGTAAACTTAAATGTTTATTCAATTAGAATTAAGCATTATTATTGATCCATTTAGAATTTTTATCATTCAAGCAAATTTTATTGATAAAATTTAACTTTTTTGATAATTGATTTTCATCTTTTTTTTTTCCTTTCGTTTCGTTAGTTAGATTAAAATTTTTGCAGATGCCAATTTACACTGCTTCACATTGCTCTAAAATTCATGGATCACAAGCACTTTACTTCTCAGGCTTATCATTAGCTACATTTACATCATCTGTTGAACAACTTCAACAAGCCATTCATATTTATGCTATTTGGTTTATAGCTATTTTTGTGATACTTTTATTTGTGGTACGTTTTAATCATAAAAGATGTAGCAAATTATGCTAGAATATAATTCATTTGTATTCTTGATTATTACTATTGTCATTAGTGCATAATTATATGAAAAAGATTAGAAGAATATTTATCTTGATCTAAACTTTATCAAATAATTAATCATATATTTGAGATTTTTCTTTTCTTATTTCTTCAGATTCAGATCTTTCTTATTTCTTTTCATTTATTTGAAAAAAAAAAAAAAAAAAAGCTTAAATTTATAGATTTTGGAAATTTTCGAAAAGCTTCACGTGAAACTTTGAGATCTGAAAGAGACAAAATTTACAATTTAAAATAAGAGCTAAAATTGAAGTTATTGGGTGCAATTTAAGCTTCTCATTTGTAATACAAAGCAAAGATTAGTTACATAGAATAGGAGAAATTTTAGTTTTCGAAAATTTTTTCACCACACAATTTTGCAACTACCTATATTATTTCTGTTTATCATTCCGAAAATATGCGAGAAATTATTTTTGTAATTTTGCCATTCAAACTACAACAATGTAAGTTCTTTAGGTTTTATTAAAATTTTAAAGAGTAAATGAAGTAACATTGTTCGACTTGGAAAAATCAAAACATAAACTACTTGCAAATCTAAATGTTCTCAGCAATTAATGATTTAATGACTTTCTTGCAGCTATCATTTTCAGCATTATAAATTTTTATTTACGATATAAATAATACCAATTGCTGATCATTTGAATTTAAATGAGTTTTTCTGAAGGATGAAAATATCAAAGAGTATCAGGAACACTACTATACTTATATAGGCATGATTTTTCCCCAATTTCGTTATTTGTTGTAATTATTTCTTATCAAAATTTATTGGACTATGTTTTAAAAAGAGAGAGAACTTGATTGAAAAATATAATAGTAAACATTATCTGATTAGCAGGACCGAATTAAATGCCAATTCGAATTACCTGCGCTATCACAAACAGCTCACTTACAGGATTTTATTCATCTCAGTTAAATTATCACTGATCGATTCCCATCTACTGTTAAACACCGATCACTTTGTGGTTCTTTTTAAGCTTATAATACAATAATTATTAATTACTCCTATCTAGTATTCCAAAACTCTAGACACCTGAATAATGTTAACTTACAATTGGTCCAGCTTTTCTCACTTACTTTGTACTTGTAGCCAGGCGTTATCGTAGAGGTCAAACTATCTTTATTGTTTATTCATTACCATTACACCATTAAATCCATGAGCTTGAGTCGTTATTAAATAGTCCCTACTAAATCACACCATAATCATGATTAGATTTGTCTAGTGCTAATATTCATTGTTTCGAAGACTTACTTCTACGTCTCATCAAAAAAATTTTTCTACCGATACCAAGATCCCTACCACTTTCCATAGATTCCCCATCGTTTAACAGTTTTACCTAATTCCTTTTATTTCTAGTGCATGAAATGACATTCCTAAAACTGCACTTGTTCTGGAGTTTAAGCAAGCATTACTCTGTAAATGGTCGGATTTTACTGTCACATACTAATTTTAGATCTATAAGTTTTGATCATATGAGAGCTACAATTTCGGCGAATTGAATTTGGGGTTTGCAGCACCAAGTGATATGTACACAGGAAATAACAGAAAGTATTATTACTATAAACGAAGAAAAAATTTCGGTTATTTCATTTATAACTGAGTTATTTCACACACACACACATTACCCCCACCCCAAAAAAAAAAGATATCAAAGAAAAAAAGAGAAAAAAACCAAAACCTGCAAAATATAGACATGTATTGCTGAACACAAATACCGAAACTGAAACCGAAACAGCTAAATGATGGTAAAATATTAAAATGAAGCATTTTTAATGGCATCGGACGGCAAATCAATTCGTAGTGTAAGTAATTTCATCGCTTCATCGCTTGTTAATGTAAGATTATGATGCTGTAACTGATGGAAGCACTCTTCTGCCTCCGCGACGCTGTCTACATTTATTATAGATACTATCTAAAAAGCATGAATAGTTGAACAGTCAATGATCTGTTAAGCGAAAATTTAAAGTCATTAACGAATCCCATAAATCAGAACGATTTTACGAAATTTTTTTTATCTAAGCTGTTGCTGGAATGTAACATTTCAATGTCCGATTTTGACACAGAAATTCAGCAGTATCAATAATAATTCAAAAAAAAAAAAAAAAATGTGGTAATTCTGCTAAGAATGATAAATGAAATACCTGAGATAACCTCGTACATTTCTCACGTACGACCCAACCAGCAATGTTCGTCAAATATGAGCTCAAAGAACGGAAATCTTTGTCAAGTTGCAAACCACCAAGTCGATTATAAACATTTTTCATTATCACACGCTCGAACTGCATAGAAACTTCAGCACAAACTGCCACTAGCAATTCCTTCAATCATTTTTTCGCTAACAAAATTTCAGGAGAACAACTTCAGCAATTCGAAGCCCTCTTTAGGAAAGTTATATGTGCAGTAATTATCAGATTACCTGGTAATTAACAGGAACAAGCAACGGCTCAAAAGCTGCTAACTGGCGATCAAGTGTTGCAATGAAATTTTCCATGAACGGATCTTCTGCTTCAAAATCAGCGAATTCACTCTCAGAAGGAGTATGAGTAACATTTAAGTAGAGGTCCATGCTAAACAAACTTATCGTTTTTGACTTATTTTTCCAAATAATTTTGCGAACGCTTCCAACTTTTAATAAATTAAAATATAAGTTGCTTTAGTCGAAAATATCTATCTGATGCAAAAAATAAAAAATGAAAAAAACAGTACACAGGTTTCAGTTTAGGTCGAAATACAGCTGTGCACAATTTATCAACGCCAATATTTGCAGAACTGTCGAATTTTCGTACCAAATCGTCCAGCTGACTAACAGCATTTTCCAGCTTGCCCTTTTCAAGTTCACTTACCTACAAAAATTTTTAAGAAAAAAACCAACAAACGAAACTCCGGTTTAAATTTCTCTAAAACTGCTCAACCTGTTCCTTCATGAAACTTTTAACATACCTATAAAGTTTAAATCCTTTTACTTCTTCTTTCTTTTTTTTCCGCAAAAAAAATAAGAAAAAGCATATATTTTAAAAAACATAAAAATGTCACACCTCAGTCAGGTGCTTTTCAAAATCTTCCAATAACCCTTTTTTTAATGCTTTCGTACATTCAGCAGACGCACGAACGTTGTTTAAAGCAGTTAAGAAAATCTGGAAGAATATAACGCATTGAAAATTCAACTTATTGAGAAGTTATACTTCCTAGATCTTAAATTACTTTCACAAATTCAAATCACTCTATGTGCAAGAGAGACCTTTATGCCAAAAGCATCAAATCCAAAAGTAAAGCACCAGCTCAGCTATGATTCGACCAATTCCTTGGGCAATATAAAAACTATTTTTAAATATAATTTAAATATACGAAAAGGAAGTAAGATAGTCTCTGAGGAATATATCTCATCTACAAGAGACATTGTACTATTAAAAATATTTCGGCATTGCACCAAAACTCCGTAAATGCTCACTTCTTTCAGCTTCTCAAGTCCAGAATCTGCAACTATTTTTCCATGTTGTATAGCATTATATGCTGTTTGAGCCGTTTGATATGCTTCGGCAGTCCAACCTGCACCCGGATAGCCACTCTAAACATTTACATCTGACTAAAAGTTTTTCTTTTTGAAAATTACAAGAAAAGTTCGGAGATGAAATATGACAGGAAGAAAATTATAAACTTTTAACAACACTTGCCTTGATACCCTGAAATATATATTTCAGAAAATCTGCTTCTAATGCAGTTACACCATTATTTAACACAGCACATGTACAATCCACTGATGACGAACTGAGAGAACGCCTTACACATTTGCGAATAATGAAAAACACATCATCAAGCATAGAGCTGAAAAATTTCCCAGTTAAAGTTCCAAATCTTTCATCAAATTTTTATTACGTTACTAGAAATTTTTAAAAATGAATTCTTTGTGTTAGTAAAGTTTCTCAAAACGATTATTCATATGACTTCCTCTATAACATAACTAACAAACAGTGAGAAAAATGAAGGTATATTGTGAAGTTATGTCCAAATATTGTAAAATATAATGCAATGACATGCCATTGATTAACATATTGGTTTCATAGCATTGAAAGAAAAACTGATATAAATTATGATAAACGATTAGTTCAGCACCTTGTTAAACTGTCGACTTCTTTTAAATCCATAGTCATTGCTTTTGCGACCGATTCCGTCATATAAAATTGTTCCATGAGCACATATTGACCCAACAGCTCCTAAAATTCGAAAGATTTTGAAACTGTTTAATTATTATGGGAAATTCACTATTATAATATTTTACAAAATTATCGGATCAAATAGATACGAAAAATATGATCATATCAAATACATTCACAAATACCTGCATTCTTGTTCCAAGAATCGACCGCAGAACCAAATCATCCAATTTGTTATTTCTTTCACGCTTCTGTTTTGCTCTAAGTTCTTCTGAAAGCCGTTTATTTTCATCATTCATCTGATCCTCATCAAATTCTCTTGGCTAAAAAAATTTTTTCAAATTAAGTGCTTCAAAAAAAAAAATCTTCATTGGAATAAATCTTTTTTAAAATTACTTTGACAAGGAATAAAAAAGCTTTACCACACCTGTTGAGGAAAATGTTTTTAAATAACAAAAAATAAGTTTCTAATCCAAATTTATAATAAGCGCACCTGCTCATCAGTTTTCATATTTGCCATATTCAGTCGTCTCTTAAGATACCGCCAATAAAGATGGGTCCTAGTGTGCATAAGTGTTACTTCGGACAACAATACATCTAGTTCTAAGACGTCAATTTTATCTAAAATAAAACGAGTATTGAAACCCTAAAAAGAAGAAATCGATGAGTATAGAAAATAGTTCTTTTGATAAATACTGCGATATTTTGTTTTCATGATTTATATCAAACAAATTAGTGATTAAGTCATGATTTTATTATTTTCAGCGTAACTAAAATTCTCGAAAATGAAAGTTTGAAGGTCTTGACAATGACACATATAATATATTAACCTAGTGGGTATTTGTCTGAGTTTCTTGTTATTTTTTCAACCATTTTTGCTTTGCTATCAAACTGTCTGTTCTTCATGAATGCATCAATGATCCGTTCCGCTTCTTTATCGCATTCCTTCTGAAAAGAAATAACGTCTTTAACTTATCCAAACCAAATTCTTCATTATTCTCTATGTAACGAAATATTATCCTTGTTCTTCTAAATTTCTCCATAAAATTAGAAAAAAAAAGAACAGAAAGTAATTATTCACCTGCAGTATTTCAATCAATGATACCAACTTATCCGGACCATATGAGGAACCAATCAATGGCTCATATACTTGTATTTCACGAGCTATTCCTGAAATTGAACCGACCGTTACAAACTGCTTTATCATGAATAACTTGAACACATCAATCTTCGAATTTACCTTCAAAAAGCATTGTCAATGCATCTGCATAAAGTACGCTTATTCTCGTATCATCAATACCACCGGCTAGCATTACCTGTAAAGAAGGCGATATAAATTAAAAAGAAGATGGAAGTGAGAAAAATTTGCAATTGTATGAACCAAATGTTGCTGTTTTTTGAATTCGCATAAAATTTTAAATACGAAATCAGTAATAACATCTAAATTAAAATTATTCTTCTTAAACGATGATAGCAGACACCACTAATAAACTTTAAGCACAGAATTATTAAATATTCACTTAACACGAGATATAAGAACAAAACCTATTGAGGAACTTCCATTTACAAAAACTGAAAATTATGAGCTTACTTTATAATTCCGCTCTGCAAATTGATGGATCTCACTACAAAGATAATTGCCAATCAGTTCGATACCTTTCATGTGTTCATTAAGTAGTGGAAACAATTTGAAAAATCTTTGAATTGAGGCAACATCATTGTCTTCAACAGCCTAAAAAGCTCAGAAAAGTGAAAACAAAAAATAAAACTACGAGAAAATTATAAGAACGAGAAAAACCATTGGAAACCATATGGCAGAAACCATAGACAAGTAATGTATAAGTGGTAGTTATCACGATAAAACAATTTTTTATTTTTGTTAGATGATTTTTTAACTCAATTTTAAATCCAATCTTGTTAATAGTGCTGTAATAATAATTCATTATCATGGGCTAAAACGCAACAAAAGGAACTGTGATAAAATTACTTGGTTGAAGCGT